TTCTCCCTGGCTCAGTGTAACACAACGCTATTGTTCAATGTACCAAAACGTTCCCCCACAATGAAGTGTGCTGTGTAAATACAAGTTTTGTTGAAGGGAATCTGAGATTGTTAACACTAGTAGGTGAATTAGGTGTAGCTTTTTGTTGTGGACGAGTGATTGTACATGAAATACTGAACCGAGTTTAATAGCATGCCAATTTATTTCCAGAACTCAATCAAACTAGTTTGGTGGATGCTGTTTAATGTTTTGTTGCCTGCCGCACACTGATTTTGATGCTCAGAGTGTGCAAAAAGCATTGAAGAGCAAAAACGGCAATGCAGTAAATTTATTTAAAATCGAGCAAAGCTGTAGCTGCATTTCAACGATTCAATCGAAACATCAGCAAAAAAAGTCAGCATCAGCTGCTTCTTTTTAAAAACTTCCTTTTTGGCAATTTTTTCCATTTTCTCTTGTTCCAGAGGACATTCTCCTGTTTGTGTGTCGGTGAAATGAGGTGGAACTAAACAAGGTTTAGAAGATCCACATCACTTTGAGTTCTTAGCTTATTGTAACACAAGCTAGAATCTGGTGCAGCATCTTCACATGTCAGGACAGTGGGGGGGTTCCTGTATTTTCAGCTCCTTCTGCAACAATCTGCAACCCCATAGTTTCCAGTCTCCTCCTCAGCACTAGACCACCACTGACAAACGTTTCCATTAGACACCTTTCATCACACAACCTCCTGTTGGCCACATCCTTCTTCCTGCCTTTGGTCACTGCTGGTTTCAGCTTTTTCAAACCCTGCAGGTTTTTGATATTCAGCTTAGAGCTCCTCCACCCTCGCTGAGTGCTTCCTGTATTTTGCCCGTCTTTTGCCATCTTTGAACAAACAACTTCAACTCTTGTTTAAGGATTGTGCATGTTCTATTTCAAAACTTTTTGGACGCAACTTTCCCTCCTTCCACGCACAAGGTATAATTTTAATGTGTCTTCGTCCACTGATAGTACCAATGTTTTTCCCAACGACTTCACTCACCTATGTCTGTGTTTGATTTAAGAAAGGAACTCTTCCTGTCCCATTCTTCTATTTTAACTTAGTTTCAGTAAGTTTCTCACTTTGTCTCTTTCTTTCCCTCTTTCGTTTGGCTCAGGGCTGCAAGCAATAAAAGGTTGAGGATTGACAGGACTGAATCACAATAAGTCAATGCCCCAAGCAGGAAAAAGAGTTGAAAGTCAGGATAGGAGTCGATCCAGGCTTCCAATGTGAGAACATGTTGGTAGCCCCCTGGGAAAATTACCCACAAAAAACACCTTGCAAATCCTCTCAGGATTAAATCTAGATTGCAATTTTTTTTTCTCCCTCAATTCTCTCCCTGCCTCTGCTCTGCTGAAAGCATTGACTCAAGTGGGATTGATTCTATTTGTACCACTAGTCCATTTTGTAACTTGCAAAAAGACTGTCCGTGTTCAACCCAAGTCAGAGAGTGTTGGCAAGGCAGATTATGTAATCATGTATGATATCACAGACTGGTACAATTCTGTTTTCACATAATATCCACACACATGTACTTTAGATCAAGGGGGTGCTGCAGAGCAGGAAAGCATGATTGATTTTTCTGCTCATCGTAGCCCAGAGATAGTGAGGTCAACTGTAACCTCAGGAGATCAAAAGATACCAACCTCTGTGATCTCAATTGGGGCACATCAAGAAAGGTGGCTACTGTCTTATGCATGTAGAAAATAATGCATACAATAATCATAGGACTGGGTAAAAGAAATTCCAACATACATAGTTAGGAAATTGGAAAGAAAAAGGATATGGAAAAAGGAGAAATGAAGACAAAGAGTTGGGTTTCTTTATTGATATTTTAGGCCACAATAGAATATTTATAAAAGATCCAGTTGAAAGAAATAACTACAAATTTTGCAGCATTTCAAAATGGCTGTAAACATGTTCTTCTCTTATACGTTTGTAAGCTGTTCATTTACAATATATCAGAAAAACTACACAAGACCTTAGTGTATTGTTTAGCTCATTTCATCGATAGCTTTGCACTTCAACCTTTGTAGCAACGACTGAGCAACATTCCATAGCAAATCAACTGAATTTTCTAAAAGGATTGCATTATTGTTGAGGTGGATTCATACTCTTTTGCAAAGTATTGGCTGCCAATATCCGAGTTTGGATCTTAAAGAAACAGAGAAAACTGAAATTTACAGCATTAGCCCATTGCATTAGTGTCACTGTTACCTGTATTACTAAACCACTTTATTTTATTAATCTCATGTTCTATCACTTTCCCCATGTACTCTATATCGTTTTCACTGTCCAAGCGTTTACTCAGTTCCCTTCTGAATGATTCCATTGATCCAATCTCAATAATCACTTGTGCAATAAATGCCAAATTGTAACATTCAATAAAACAAAAATCAAACTTCCCCCTTTTTTTTCATCTAACAAACCTGAGACTGTACTCTCTTATCTTGTTTTCCATTTTAGGTGCTGATCAATAATTAACAGAACAAACAGATGAAGTTTGGAGTATTTGCCGATGCTTTTCTTAACCAGGATTACATAACATTGCTGTTGAAGTGCTTTTAGCTACAGGATCATTTCATTTCATACGATAACCAACAGAATCAGTCTCAGATGTAGATATGTAAAATGATCATTCCATCACAGTCGTAGCCACAATTAACAATGATTAACAAATGGGCCAACAACCCATTCAGCAACTACAAGAAGTTTAAAGTCAAGTTTTTTCTCAAGACATGGCTCACTCTTGAAACCATGGTAACAAAACAATGCATTCTGAGTGTCTTTTTGAGTGTGTTTACTTTAAAGAATACTGTTATGTGATGTACTTGAAGTGCCCACATTAGAAAAACTGTATGCACGCAGCATTTTTTTTCTCAATTAATTCTAGTATGTATGGGCCTATTTTGTCTTTATGAGTGAGATACTCTCAATAGTTAGAGCACTCGCCTCACAAGCGAGAGACCTGGGTTTGATTCCCGGCAGGGCAAAACCTTGGGCAAGTTTCCTTACTCCACATGCCTGATAATAATCCCTCCAAAAAAAATATAAGTTGGGTACGTCCATCCACGACTGTTTGTGGAACACTGCTGTGTGCAATTAACTGCCACATTTCGCCCACAAATAAGCAGTCAATTAACTTTACTGTATATTCCGTGAAGCGCTTTGAGACGTCTAGAAGATGTGAAAAGCGCTATACCAAATGCACGGATTATTATTAATAGTGAGTTGGGGATTTTTAGTTATCAGTTTCCAATAAAGAAAAACAGAAGGTCAAAAGAATGGCTTGAATTGTGAGCTGTCCTCATTGCTGAAATGCCCACAAGTTGACATTCAACTGAGCTCTGCTGTTCAAGGCATGCTGTTTCTCAGATTTGGGGTCCTCTTTTTCAACTAATTATCACTCCCAATAGATCCAGAGTATCAACACACTGAAGTCCCTAAATGCTAAAGCCACTTACACTGAAAAATTGATGACTTCAGGCTTACAATAATATATAATAATAATAATAATCCTTGCATTTGATATATTGCTTCTATCTTCTAGACGTCTCATTGATTCTTAGATTGAGAACCAACGATTAACTTTTTGGGAAGTAATGTGGTCGGAATATACTTACATAAGGTGCATTGATCTATGAAACCAATCATAGCCCAGTAAAAGTAAATGATGGTGATGTGTGTGGATTTCAGTGTTCTACAAAGTCCATTTTGAATAACAATAAAGCAATGTGATTGTTGAAGGGAACATTTTCACATCAGACCAACGAAAGTTTCCAACACAATATTACTTCAGGGTTTATGAGATTGTAGTTACAAATCATAAGAACAACCGCAGCAAAACAGGCAGTATGATCAGCAATGGTGCCATCAGTTTGGAGCTCACTGCTCCAATTGTGGAAGCCAATGTAGATCGTGACAGCAATCATAACACAATGAAGTGGACTGGTTATTACCAAACAGATGTTACCTCATTTCACAACACACACACAAAACACAAACAAAAGTGATGATGGATGAGATAGCTGTCTCTAAGGAATCTTTTGGGACTAAATGGATTATTCTTGGCTGAAACTGTTTATGCTGGGATTTAATTTGCATTATTTCTTAACATGATTTACAAAGATTTGCAAAGAATGTACAGCATGGAAACAGGCCACTCGGCCTAACCAGTCCGTGCTGGTGTTTATATACTACCTCACCGCCTTCAAATTCTGCCTAACGACTTTCCTTTTTGACCGTGCTTACTGTCACCTCCCCCTTCCCTCTTCCTCTGGCTCATGGTGAGACTCCGCCAATGTGAAGAGCTCCGGGACGCTACCCCACGTGAAAGGTGCTATATAAATGCAAGTTGTTATTGTTTGTTGTACTCCACATGAGTCTCCACCCGCTCCTTACTCCCTCCCACACCCTCCTATTCCCCTCTCCCTCATGTGAAGGTTTACTGCCACATGTATTGACTGACAAACTTGCTTAACAGACGTGTGTGTCATTCAATGTGGACTCACTCTAACCTGCAGGAATTCCCCTGCAAATCGATCTATTTCCAGAGCAGAATTCCAATAAGATATACCGCAAATTAGACCCTTATACTAGCTAAATGTCTGTGCAGTGCAGGTGTTGAAATTATTTCTGGCTCACTTAACCCTCTTGCAAAATTGCATCTATAAACTTCTGTCATCCTTTTGACTAATTTATGTTTAAACCATTGTTTAGTCAGAATTGAGATTTAAAATAAAAGGCAATTATATTTGGAGGTTTTGAAGTGTAAGTGTACTTTTAGATGTTGACGGCAGCAATTCACGTTGGTAAATCTTATAATTTGTCACCTTTTAATTGTTGAAACAAAATCTTAAGGATCTTTAGAAATGAGGCCTATTCATATTAAATGCCTGATATTGCACAACTAAACTAAATAATAATATTCACAGATTCATGACAAAGGAGCTGAAGACAGTCATGGATTTTGACTTGAGACCATTATCATTGAGAAATTTAAGATTATACACAATTTTGGAAAATTCATTAAAAAAATTCTTCATTTGGAACCGGATTTCTGCAGTTATTGAACAATCTTAAAGCGAACTGCACAAAAACATTTATTTTCCAAATTAAGGTGAAATTTAAGAAGTTATTAAAATTCTGCACAATCTGAAATTTTAAGACATTAGTCTTAAGGCCAGAACCCAGTTATATTTTAGGCCCACATTGTTTGAGACTGGACATTTTACATTAACAACAGAATTTCCAGGAACAGGGTCCTTGAATTTAAAACTAGTGAAAACCATGTTAAATGTTATGATCGCAACATTACAAAATGATTTGAATTGCAGTTATTTCAGTGTAAAGCATCCAGCGATTGGCTCTGAAGGGTAAGAGTTTCCAATGAAGTGATCTAGCTTGTTCCTCTGAAAGACGTTGAACCAGACTGAAGAGACAACCAGTGCTTGCAGAGATGGAGGGTGACCAGGAAACATCTGAAGACAAGAAACTGTACATCTTGCAACCGGAACTCTTCGATGTCAAAAAGGTGTTGCTGTCTAAAAGGGCACATTAATAACCATTGATTGTTTTACTAAAAACATATCTCCATTCTAATGTACAGGGGAAGTGATTCAGGTTAGTTCCAAAGCAAGCCGCCAATACAATTAAAAGGCAAAACTATCACATTAAATAAATATTCAATAAAATGTCAGAACTGCAAGAAATAATCCCATAACAGACGCATCAAGCTAACCTGTGATCCAGAGCTTTCGTTGGGTTCTCCTTCATTAAACCGACTTAAGTTCTGTAAAATGGTCACATACCTTACTTCCTTGCAAAAAAGGCTGCTAAGCGCTGTTTTTTTATTGGAAGTACATGTAAATCCTGTGAGCTCATTTTCTTTAATTTTATGCCTCGGTTTTTATTAGCTTTCTTAGCAATCCCACTGCTGTCTCTGAGCTCAAGTTGCGATTTCACGTCGTAACACTGTAAAACAGATTCCTGGGACAGATCTGTCTTGTAAGAGAAGTTCTTTGTAGAGACTCCGACAACAGTTTTTATTTTGCCACAAAGAATGGCTGGGCCAGCATCCTTGACAGATACAATGACCTTTGTGGTGTCTGTGCCGCTCACACTTTCAGTGTGGCTGCCAAGTCGTGAGTCGTCTCTCAACCTACTGTAGTTCTGATCAATCACCCACTTGTGCTGGCTGGTAAACTCACAGTTGTCAGACATGCCGTGCATCATGCTCTCTATCTTCTGTGTGCCAATGGGCGGTAGAGGGTTGGAACAGGGCTGACTAATATGTGGTAGGGCTTCACGCAATGATTTCAAGGCTGTAGTGCCCTGACCTTCTTTTGGTTTCTTAGGGATTGGGATCGATAGATCCAGCACGCCATCCTGTTCTATCTGTTGGTAGACAAATTCATTCTTCTTCACTACAGATGCTCGCTTTATGGAAAGATCAAGTGCTTCGTTCTCAGCGTTCAGTTTGTAGACTGCGTGCTGATAATCTTGTAAAGATCTATGCTGGCTGCACTCTGATGTTTTAAACTCTTCTTTCTCACATGATGTCTGAGTGCTTTTGCTCATGGTACTGCTGCTGAAGTTGGCTCTTTTGTGGCCGTCTGTGAACTTGTTGAGATCTGAATCCTGTTCCATAGGAATGGGAATCGGGATGGGAATAGGTATCGGTACCGGAAGAGGAACTATCACTGGGTATGGAACGAGGAGTGTGGCAGGAGGAACTAACGGGGAAAACAGTCCAGCAAAGTTGGGATGTGGGAAAGAGGTGAAATTGGCAGCCATACTCTCCGGCCCTGGCTGGACATGAGCTGCTGCTGCCGGTGGTGCTGGTGGTGGGACTGTGTTATGTGAAGGGAAAAGATCCTGGAGAACAGCAGTAAAACCAGGAATCTGCAACGAATGTGGGAATTCACACTCCTGATTTTGACTTGAAGGTTTCTGTGCCAGTGTGGGACCCTGAGAGCAAGAGCCAGTGATGCCAGGGATAACGTGACTCTGCACAGAGTTGACAGGACTCGGGGTAGGTGAAGCCAGCAGCAAGGGTGAATTCAAATGCTGAATGAAATGCTGCTCCAACAGCAACGAGAGTGGTACAGCACCCTGATTGGTCATTACCCATGGTGTATTACTGCCAGGGGCCATCTGGGGTGTTGAACTCCCAGCCACTTGCAAGTGGATAGGAAGCACCATCGGACTATCTCCTAAACAGATGGGTTGCAAGACTGTTGCTGCCACTTTAAGTGACACTCCACTTGGTGGGTCTGTTTGGGGAGCCATTATAGTCGAGGCAGGTACAGCCACCAAGGGGGAAAGTGCTTTTTTCATGAGGCCTGAAGGGTTGATGTTCCATGCCTCTGCGGTAATCAACTGAGTCACTCCGTTTTCTAACTTGTTGTTTGTCATTGTCGGAGAAGGGGCATCAGTGACATCCATGGACAGGTTAGACTGAGCATCTTTGTAAAAACGATCCATTTTGTACTGGTTGGTACATTTCATGCTACAGAACTGAAGCTTGCTTCTGCTGTCGCTCGTGTCCACGTAGTCTTTGGTGTGATGGATATGTTTGCACCAATCACAGGCCTGTGACACAAAAACAAATGCATGAATTTATTGGTGCCAAATGATTCATTCCCATTCATTACAATAATAATAATCCTTGCACTTGATATAACGCCTTATCAAGTTGTTGAGATGTCTCAAAGCGGCTTCATAGAATATACTGTAAAATTAATTTACTGTATATTTTGTGGGCGAAATGCGGCAGCCAATTGTTCCATATTAACAGTCGGGATTCGAGTGGAAAGTGATCCGCCAATCTACCAGGTTCCTACTTACTGCTAGGTAAACAGAGGAGTGTGAATTAAGGAAACTTGCCTAAGGTTTCGCCCTGTTCTTGAATCTAATCCGGGTCCTCTCGCTTGCGAGATGAGTGCACTAACCAATACGCTACAGGGGTCCACTATTCAATCCAATACTTTCAGACACAGCATTGTACCAGGACAAGAGGACACAGGTTCAAGATTGCGAAGGACACTGGAAAGCAGTTTTTTTTACACAGATTTAGTCCCAGATCTTAACTTAATCCAGACCTAATGAAAAGTAATAAAACTAATCGGAACTGATCAGTTTAGTGGTGAAAGATGCTATATAAATGTGTATTGTATTGTATCATTGCTTTCACATCTCTGGGGAGATTGTACATCTAACTATACTAAATTGATCAGCAAAATGCTTCCCCTAGTCGAAATATGAATATTGTACTGATTCAGTTGTGATCCACCTCATGTACCAGGTAAGAGTATTACTTCTGTCACAATGACTCCCTGATGGTCGCCAACGTCAGGCTTTATAAACAAATTAGCCGAAAACCTCCTCACAAACCATTTGACTTTGTTTTCAGTGTTTACTTCCTCCCTCCACCCATTTTTTGTGCTGTCTGCTGTTACTGGGAGCAGTTACATGCTGTGCAAAGGCTGAGTCATGTCGCCCTGCTCTCTATGTCAGATCATTTAGCAATCAACTCCAATATCTTGTGGCAAAATTGAGTTAATTTCTTGTGCTTTTTGGAAAGTCCCTTCCTGATTTTGTAACCATGTCATAATCAACAAGGACCTTATCATCACCTGGTACCAATACTGAGGGAAGGAGGGTCATTTTCAGCCATTAATACATTTGCTGACCTTGGCAGGCAAGAACATTGCATTCTCAGCTGGTACCTGTATTTATCGGCTTTGCCTGTTGAACGTGTGTAGCTCATTCTAAACTCATCCACACATCAGTGATGAATACAAGTTCTTGCCCACAGAGGTCCATAAACTTAGCAATTGACTGAAGAAATACCCATGAGTTTCGACTGAGCCAAGTGGTTGGGATTCTCAGATGAAAAATAAAATAAAGGGCTTCCCCAATAACCTGAGTAAAAGTACTAACCAAGTCAGGATTCCTACTCTGAATTGCTTCCTAGTGAGCTGTGGACATGTCTGGTTTGACCTGGCTCTCTCACCTTAGAAAAATGATATTCAGTAATGTCAATACTATGGAGCACAGTCATTCTGCATATACATTGCTGACGTTATAAATAATCTTATACACCACAGCACAAAGCCATTTATACCTTATGGATGAAAATGTAAACTGTAATCCTTGTGTCCCATTGAGATGCTGTCAAGCATCTGCAACTGACATTCTGTGCCAGAAAGCAGTGCAAGAGGGAATGAATGCCCCCATGCACACCAGCTGCTGATAGTTAGATTGTGGTGAGAAGACAGGGGGGTGGATATTTGTGGAGTCCTGTAGCTCAGTGGTTAAAGCACTCGCTTTGCAAGCGAGTGACCTGAGTTCAATTCCAGACAGGGCGAAACCTTGGGCAAGTTTCCTTACTCCACACGTCTAATAATAATCCCTCCAAAACCAAAAACAATAATAAATTGGTCATTTTCAATCTACGACTGTTTGTGGGACATTGCTGTGCGCAATTGGCTGCTGCGTTCGCCCACAAATATACAGTCAATTCACTTTACAGTGCGTTCTGTGAAGCGCTTTGGGACGTCCTCCCGACATGAAAAGTGCTATATCAAATGCAAGGATTATTATTATTATTTTGGAAGCATAAGATAGAATGGGCCGAAGAGTTTTCTTCATTTGAACCAATCTTGTGATCTAATGAACAATATTCAGCCGACCACAATTGGCAGTTAAAAATATCTCAAAAGCGTCTCATAATTTCTTTGCAATCCATTCTAAGTGGGCACAGGGTTTGCTCACTACAAATGAAAGTAGGATAGTAGCTTCACAGGTTGTAAGGTTGGTATAGGACCAGGCTGATACCCTTGTTTATTTAAAATGTTACATTCCTAATCAAGAAATTGGGAATTTCCAAATGTAAAGTACATATCAGAGAGCCCGGTTAGCATTCTTTTTAATATTGGGTGGAGGGTGGGGGGGGCCTCACAGACATATCTGATCCTGTCATTCCTGGATGTCTATAAACTCAGACTTTCCAGCTAGTGTCACTTAATAGCACTTAGGAGCAGGGCCCTGATTGATTTTCCCTTCCCTAATGTAAGAGTACTAAGGCTAATTATAGTGCCCCTATCACCACCCTGGCTTAATATCTCCAAACTCACCCAGGTTAGAGAGCATTCCTGGGACAATTTTGGGCTGCAGTTTATGTGGATCATACAGCAATACCAGAAGGAAAATGAAGCAGAAAACACTGTCAAACTGGTAACATAGCAGCATGTGGCATACTATACACCTTGTTCTACTTTAAATATATCTTAAATAATATAATTAAAAATAATAATCCTTGTGTTTGATGAAGTGCCTTTCTCGTCAGGAAGACAACTCCAAGCTTCATACAACAGATATACTGTAAACCCTTGAGGATATACTGCAAAGACTGCATTTTGTAGGTGAAATGGCGCAGACAAGTTAGGCACTACAGTGTCTCACAAATAGCCATGATGTGAATGACCAATTGTATTTAGGGTTATTTGTTTTAAATAAGGTCTATCTTGTAAATCTACATTTGAGATTACATGTAGTTTACATTTGAGATTACATATAAGATTTTGAGACCTGATGCTAACCTTTTCTGAGAATAATTTGATATTGTTTATATAAGTTATATAGGCTATTGTAATGAAAAAATGCTTTCCAGACACTGAGATCTAACTTACAGCAATCTACAAATGCTGGAAGTTACAAAGGTGTTACAAAAAAATTGCAATGATCAGCATAAAACAATCCACGTGGCCTAACAGAAATGTAGCTTTTCTAAAATAATTGTGATTATTTATTATTTAGCATTTTATTTCTTTGCAACCCAAACTCTAACTGATGCCACTCTATGGCGAGCCAGCAAAGTATACAGAAGGGAATGTTTCCTTTCTCACTGGCCTTCTTGATTTCCCGTAGTGCTGACCAGGCAAATCACAAGAGATTGGCAACTTTCCATCTAAAGGAGAGGCAGTGTGACTGTCAGTCTGCAGACTGCTGTGCCACCAGTACTGTGCAGAAAGCAGGCAGAGCTCCAAAGAAATATATGCTGATCAAGTCAAAACAAGGTAAAGTTGCTCTTAATAAAGGACAACCTTATTTCACAGTTAAATAACGGGAGTAAAATGTGACCTGTGATTCGATATTAATCATCAACCAAAAATATGGTCAAAAGCTAGCAATAGTTATCAACTGGCCCTAGGAGTGAACCCTGCTATTATTTCTGATCATAGTTTGCAACATTTCAGAGGTTGCATCACATGGTACCAGCTTGCCGTAATGTCCCCTGCTGTCAAAAAAGCCTGCCAACAGTGACTGTCTGGGCCAACATAAAGAATAGACATATGGGCGAGGTCCTGAATACAGCCAAACAGCACGTGACACTTTACCCCAGTGAGAGCTTTCAGGAGAGGAGAAAATTGGAAAAGGGAGGGGGCGAGAGAGAGAGAGAGAGAAAGAAATCATTTCCCACCAGAAAAAAATGTCTGGAGAAAGTGAGCTTGCCTCAACTGCCAATACAACTGTTGTTAAGTCCACCTCAAGATTTACCCCTATGGACACTACTTTTGGTCATCTTTCCCAAAGGTCAAAGAGCTTAAAGATCATAATGATTTAAGATTATTAGAACTTAAGGCAAAGGTCCATAAATGAGAATCTTGAAAACTATTTTCTACCTGTTCTCAACCCTTTAAAAGGCAGTGTGCGAGATGCATTTACAAAAGCTTGGCACAATAGTCACTGTACTTTCACAAGCCATATGTTCAGGAGGTGATTGGAAACGTGACTATAAAACAGTTCTAAGGTACGTTTCCCTTGTGCATTATAATTCTGGTTCGGTAACATTGTTCACAGTGGTCTTTACATTGGTCTCTAATGCTTCCCTCAACATAATGACAATAACATTAGTTTTGACAACACTAAAAACTTACTTTTCCCTTTTCCCATCAAAAATAAGAGTAAGTTATTTGCTGTGTCTTCTTTCAAGCAAGTCTAAAGAAAAGTGACAAGTGAGAAATGTGCAATGGGGTTGAAAATACAATATTCCAAAATAGAAGTCCTGACCTTCACCAGTGTTTTGCTTCAGAACTGTTTCTCAGTGAAGAAAAGACTTGAATACTTAGACAAAAAAGTTGGAAAGAAAAAGAAACACAGGACGCAAAATGGATATAGCAGGCTTTCAGAATCAGATTTTTTCCAATTTTTTTTATAGCAAATTTCATAGCGATTAACACATAGCTAATCCTGCAATTTAATTTACAAGCTGTTAGTGCAGTGCCTGCCAAATTGTAAAGATCATATTTTCATCCCCAATGGGAATGCGAATCCTCTTTTCATTAAGACAGAGGGGAGTAAATCTTGAGAACGTCAAAAGGAGTTTGTGAATCCTGAACAACTTGAACTTCACTTGGACTCTAAAGTTGGAACTGAGATTGATATCTAAACGGAGGTCCTGAGGGTTGGAATGATATATTGGGGAATTGATAATTATGAATTTTCTGCAATTTATGCACTTATAAAAATTGACCATGAGAATGTCACTACATCTAGCAGGAAATTAGCACTAATTCCCTGACCTAAAT